CCCCAAAACCCCAAAACCCCAAAACCCCAAAACCCCAGAATTTATATAATTACTGCACTGTATAATATTTTTAAATGAGTTTTTTCAAAAGCTTCTTAACCAACAAGAGTCAGGAATTCCCTCTTGATAGTAGAGTAACAGTGATTTCTAGGGAGACCTTAGAAACCAATCCTCGCATGAGGAGCAACAGCTCTTATAATCTAGAAGACCTGACATCAACTAAAAGAAATACTACTAAGGAGAAGATCAAGTATTTGAACCTGGTTAATCAGGAGCTCAATTCTGAAAACGAGAAGTTAAAATAGTAAAATGGGTGATCTCAAGATCACTGTTTCCACCAACAAGCAACTTTTAGAGGACTTTTGAGAAACCAACTCCAAGCTTGAAAGACAGATTAAAATTTATGTTGCACAGATAAGTCTCTTAACAGAGAAATTGCGTGAAAATAATATTGATTTTGATGAACATCTCGATCTTAAGCTTGATGCTAAGAAATTAATAAGGAGCAATACTCCTTCTGCAGAAGCTCCCTCAAGTACTTTGACAACAGAAAGAATTACTAAAAATATTGTTAATGATAAGCTAAGTTCAAAATCAGGTGATCATCCAGGTAAATAGACAGGGCAAAAGGAGATTCAAGAAAGTTGTAAAACGGAGGCTTAAAAGTGGGTCTTCTGCTAGCTCTAATAGTAGTAATATGATTAAATCATACCGTACTGCTAAGGCGACAAAGCAAGAACTTCATACAACTTCAATCACTCCGAAAAAGCCTGCACTTGAGTTGGAGAAGTGAGGACTATCGGAAGAAAACAAATTCGATGAGACTGAAGAGCCTGTTTCCTTCAGGGACAACAATATCTGTGATCAAGAGAATAACCTTGATTGTGATAGTGATTTTGATTATCATAACCTAGAGAATAAATTCCGAATGAGAGCTATCGGAGTAAAAGATTATGATAACCCTATTAAGATTGAGATGAAAAAGCTATCAAAGGCATATAATACTAAAGAAATCATGAAGATGTTCGAGCACATCGAAAGAGAGCTTCTTTACAATTGAAAAGATCAAAAAGAGAAATTTATATATCTCGAAGATGAGGAGGCCAGAATTTGGGAAATACGGAAAAATGAAGTCATTAGTCCTAGATCTCTTAAAGACTTACATTCTTTAAAGACCTTAGATTCACCACTGTCCATTGAAAATGAGAGATTTGAGTTTAGTCCAAGTTTGAAAAACAAGACTACAGTGCATGATTTCTCAAAGCTCCGGATAGACATCTCTCCTGAAAATAATAATCTTGGTATTTATTGTTTGCTTAAACATATTTAGAAGATGTAGAGGCTCACTCTGAGGACAAGTCCTTGGAGATCGACTATGAATCGATCAAAAGCTGATCAATAAATTCAAAATGCTCACCTTCAAACCAAGTGGAGATTAATTTGTTTGAGCTCTACTAAATATACCTTTTCATGACAGCTTATAGGCTTCGTTCAATATAATTTTTATTTATAGGGGTTTTGGGGTTTTGGGGTTTTGGGGTTTTGGGG